GGGGGAGCCTGCCTGCCACGTGTGGACCCGCGGTAAGTACCTTGTAGTTCGAACTAAGATACTTCGACTTCAGCTACGTTATTCACGTAGCTGAAGTTGCGTATCTTAGTTCGAACTGGGGGGTTAGTGTGGACCAGCCCTCAGTCATACTAGTATAGTTAAAGTGGTAAAACTTTCTACTGTAGACAAGCCCTGATGTCACCCCTTACATTTATACTAAGTAGGTGGAAATCACAACCACATCAGAATTGTGGCATTTTACATTTACTTTGTGTGAGTCTAAGTCAGTGGTTCTCAAACTTTTGTACTGGGGACCCCTTTCACACAGCAAGCCTCTGAGTGCGACCCTCCTTATAAATTAAAAACACGTTTAAATATATTTAATGCCATTATAAATGCTGAAGCCAAAGCAAGGTTTGGAGTGGAGGTTGACAGCTCACGACCCCCCAGGAAATAAACTCGCGACCCCCTGAGGGGTCATGATCCCCAGTTTGAGAACCCTTAGTCTAAGTGGTGGCTACACAAGGTGCAAAGCAGCAAAGAATCAGGCCCCTGAAGGATGGGGGAAGTAGGGAGATTGGAAAATGGCAAGGACCACATTTGTTTTTATACAAATTGTTTTAATTTAAATTGGGACTTTGACCAGGGAGTTAGAAAGATCTTTGGTAGAAAAAGCCTTTCAAAAAAGTAAGCTTTAATTTTGTGTAAATGTATTTAAGCAGGGAAAAAAACCCTCACACAAGTTGTTAGACTTTGATAATGTTTCCTGTTATGTCAGCACTTACAAACTTACTTTTCCCCTTCTTCCCTTTCGAGTCAGTTTGTAGAGGGCTTTGGTCTGGCCCACCTCAATACTAGTTCTGATTAATCGTTATGTGTACTGCAGTAGCTCCCCCTGTGTCTCTATGCCTAAATATTTTAAGTCTTTTTGAGTACTTAGCAAAATAAAAGAATAAAATGCATCTCTTAGGAAGAGCTACATGTCTAAAACAAGTTTATAGTCCACTTTTTGGCTGAGAGTGGGGAGGCAGCCAGCATATTTTGCTTATGCACGGGGGGATTTTTGGAATTACCATATTATAGGCAAAGTTTTTTTTCTTTTTTTCATTTCCCAGTTGGAAACATTCTGGGAATATCGCTCTTACCGACTAGAATACAAATTCTCATTAGTCTACAACAGGGATCGGCAACCTTTGGCACGCGGCTCGCCAGGGTAAGCACCCTGAGTGGGCGGGG